CTTTAATATCTTTTAATGCTTCAGCAAATCTATCCCACCCTACTGGATCACTTCTTTTTAAGGGTCTTAGTGAATCATTTATTAAATCAACAATATTACTTCCAGGACTTTTTTCATTATCAATTTTTTTCATTTATTTATCATATGAACAAGCATTGCACATATTTGTAGTGATAGCATTTAAAAAAAAACCACTAAGGTTTATACTTAAGCTATCGAGAGATTACAATTTTATAAAATAATATAGCGTTATGTTGTATTGCAGATACTATAAAAAAGGAAAAACAAACAAAAAACATGAAATAAATATGCAAACAATAAAAAAAATGACAAAATACGTTATAATAATTTAAGAAAGTGACCCTTTAGTTTACATCTAATGTTATTTTTAGTGATATTGTCCACTAATTCTGATGGTAAGTTATTGATAAGCCGAGGTATTAAGTAGCTACATGTTCTCTTACCGTACGCATTGCTAGCACGCGGCTCGTTGAGACGGTTTTTAGAAATTGCTCGAGTGTTTACAGAATGCTCAATCGGGATTTTTAGCGATTCATTAAAAAATTGTTCTTTTAATAAAATATTTTGTACTTGTATATGTATTGGTAAAATTTTACAATGTTTAAAGAAACCATTAACGTCATTCCTGAATTTATTTTTTATTTTATTTGGAACTATAGTATTGAGTATTCTTACTTGTAAACTATGGATCTGGTCAAGATATGTTTTGTAAGTTCGGCCGTAGCTACTTAGCCCGTATTGAATGTGCGACTCCGCAAGTGCATTATATAACATTAACTTTATTTTAAAAGGAATGCGATTATTGAGAATAGTGATATTTGCTAAAAACTGTCTTAATTTATTACGTCCACGGTCAATATGCTGGTTCCAATTTAATTTACTGTCAATAACTAGTCCGAGATACGTTTGTGTGTCAACTATCTCAATTGCTGGGCAGCAGCATTCAGCAGCGCGGTTATTATGTAGGCAGATGTGGTTGTGTGCAACTATTTTTTTTATTGAAGCGGGTTTTAGGTATGGAGATTTAATTACTAACAACTTAGTTTTACTATCATTAAGGACAAGCCCAGCATCATGGCACCACCTTGATAGGATATCTAGGTCAGACTGCAAAAGGTCACATGCCTTTTGTGGATTTTTATCACCGATTACAAGACAAGTGTCATCTGCAAACTGGTAGCATGTGCAATTGACGATGTAGTTGCCCATGTCATTGACGTAGGACAAAAAGTGCAAGGGTCCTAGTACCGAACCTTGTGCTGTTCCCTCTGTTATCAACATCGGCTCGCTGTAGTTATTTTCAATTTTCACAAACGATTTTCGGTTCTCCAAGAAATTATGGCACCAATTAAGTAAGGGGCCACGTATACCACATTTGTCTAATCTGTCCGCTAGCTGTTCATGTAACAAAGTGTCAAAAGCACGTGATAAGTCGATAAATAGGGCAAGCACCTGTCTTTTTTCATTTAGATGACTATTCACTTCAACAGTAAATTTTGATAAGAGTGCTGTTGTACTTTTTCCTGATTGAAAACCAAACTGATACGGGCTTATTACAGTGTTATTCCTATAAAATTTGTGTATTTGATCGCTTATGAATTTTTCAACAATTTTATCGATTGATGAAAGTAATGTAATTGGGCGATAGTTCGAGTAGTCATCACGTTTTCCTTTCTTATGTACGGGTCTGACACAGCCTTCTTTCAATTTATCAGGATACAAACCACTTTTAATGCTACTATTAATTAGGTCAGAGATAGTTGGGGAAATATGTTCGCTTATCATTTTAATGTCAGCAATCACAATATTGTCAGCACCTGGTGCCTTTCTTGAGTTAAGATTTTTAATAATTTTATGAATACTACAGGGGGTCGCTTTCCGAAAAAATATACTGGAGTCTAAGATTTTATATGTATTGTTTTGGTTTATTAATTTTATTTTACAATTAGGAACTATACTTTTTACCGCCATGTCAAAGCTATTTGCGAAATTATCTGCAATAGTTTTGGAGGTAAGTCCCTGTGCATCGAACGCTTTTAGTATAGCCGCATCAATAGATAAGTTCATTCTCCCTAACATTTGGTTAACAATATTATAAATTTTTTTAATATTGTTAAAATTACTATTTATTTGCCTAGTATAATATATGTTCTTTTTAGCTTCGAGAACTTTATGGAATTTGTCCCTTTTATTACAAAGACGAGTAATATTGTCGTCAATCCAGGGTAAATTAAACCGCTTGGGGATCTTTCTAAGTAATTTATAGGTTTTAATATTACTTGCGGAATTTTTTGCCGTTTGAAAAGAGCTATATATAAAATTTAGAATCTCGTCTGGGGAATTCATATCCTTAGATTTTGACCAATCCACATTTTTAAGTTCCTCATAAAAAAATTCGTAATCAATTTGTTGTTTTCTTACAGTCTGTGAACACTCGAGCAATATAGGTGCGTCTTCTACGCACGCAAAAATAATACCTCGATGATCGGCCAGTACAACATCGAGCACCACCGAGAATTGATGTAGCGTGGGAAATCGGGCAAAGATGTGGTCTAAGCAAGATTCAGTAATTATATTTTGTTTTGTTTCAATTCTTGTGTATTCTGATACTCCACACATCAATCCGTGCTTGCTGAGTGCTCCTACATATGCATTCTTGTACGAGGTTGAAGTTTTCAAATCAATGTTAGTGTCACCGATTAAAAGGAGGTTCTGTTTCAATTCAAACTTAGAAATATAATTGCTTACTTCACTTATAAACAGATTTTTATTTGTAGATGGTGGTCTATAAACTGCACACCCAACTATATTTAGTGACGAACTAAGTTTTATTATGCCCGAAAGACTTTCAAACGTTTTAGTATTACATTGAATTGTGGAAAATTTTAAGTGGTTTCGTACGTAAATTATAATTCCGCCTCCCTTCTTATTTTCACGTAGATGTGTATGCAAATTATAGCCGGGTAATGTGTATAAATTAACAATATTGTTCGAGATACCAGCCTCCGTTATAACTATTACATCTAGTGGATAGGTACAGTTGTGGATTATTTGTTGTAGTTTATTAAAATTTTTTATAAGTGATCTAATATTAAAGTGTATACATGAGAAGTTCATAAAACTTTTAGGAGGCAATTGTTGAAAGAATTGATTAGGAATTTTACAATTAGTAATTTCATTTACTAGTGTATCCATTTTATTTGAATTTATTGATTAATGAATAAATATGGGTATAGATGAGAACTTTACAATATTGTAGATGAGGGTGACCCGGGTTGTTTATCAGAAAGTGATGAACTTAGTTTTATAATTTGATTGATGTCATGCATAGTGCGAATATAATAAATTTTACTGTTGTCAGTTTTTCGAGCACATACCTTCCCATTTTTACACCATACATACTTACACGACTTATGCAATAGCTGCGACTTAGCATTAAATAGAAGTGTTTTCTGATACTTTGTTAGGGCTTCTCTTATGAAAATGCGTTCATCGGCCTTCTCCTTTGAAAGGTTTTGCACTATCATCCCTGCGGTGAGACACTTGTCCTTGCCAGCATCTATCCATTGTTGCTGCAAGATTTTAGACTTTAGCTCTACAAGAACTGATCCCGGTTTGTCCTTTGACCCTGTAACCGTTGAGCTGACTGCACATCCTTTTTTATCAACGTCCAATTTAGCGGCAACAGTATCAATTATTGTATTTACCTCACTGGGCATTTCCACTGGTAATCCGGCAATTTCCAACGAGGTAGAGAGAGTTTTTTGTTCAAAATCTCTTAGTGTTTGTTCTAAAGTAGATACCCGCAGTTCCAAATTCTTGTTTTTGTTCACTAAATCATAATTCTTATTTTCAAGTTCTTTAATTCTAGTATCTTGTTTTTTTTATTGATTGCTCCATAGAGGAAAGTTGTTCACTTAGAAAATCGAGTGAGCTCTCAAGATTCCCGATCTCCTCACGAAAGGTCTTTTTTACTTCGCGACTAATGTCTTGTACCAACTTTCTCGCATCTATAACTTGCGCATTTCCCATGTTTCCGGGGTCGCAGTTTTCATCATCGCCATCATCGTCGGGTATCACGAAAGATGATCTACGAGAAATTTTCCTTAGGCACTCTTCACAACTCCACTCTATGCCCGATGAATTCTTGAGGGTGTTTAACTGTTTATTGGATAACTTTGAACAGACAAGATCGGCGTGAACTATTTGATCACATCTACTGCATTCTAGTCCAGGCACTTTTTTGGTGATGTTTTTCTTACATTTAGCACACTTCTTGACAACCATTTTAGATTACGGGTGGGTACAACTTTAATCGCTAGTCGTTTACGTCTCTTCACGTTGGTGTCTAACTTGTAAACTGATGAAGTAATGGGATTGAAATAATAAAAAAAGATTCAAACGAAAATAACACTAATAATTTAAAATTTCCGGAGAAAATTTAACAAACATATATGACAACCAATCACCATGACAACAGTTCAAATATGTTTATGACTGTACCTTCATTATCCCAAAGTATTTTACTTTTATTTCTTTCAACTAAGTCTAATAATAACTGTCCTTTTTTATTATAAATTTATGGTATTAAACTGAGTATTTGAGTTGGTGTGTAAAGTGGATTTTCATCATTTTCTTTACTTTTAATGAATAGATTCTCCTCCAACAAAGATTCATCATCAACTGAAGTTTTTAGATCTCTATATTTATTTTTAAAACTAATTTTAGACTCATTTGAATCTTCATTAGATGTATCAGAATAAATTGGTAATCTGAGTTGTTTCCGATCCTCTTCGGTAAAATAAAGGTATCTATGCAGTGTTTGTAAATATAACATCCATTTCTTTCGGTCTTTCGTCTTACTGTACATAATATTTTGCATTTCTATATCTAATCGAGATAAACGGACGCTTATGCGAGTAGTGCCGACTAATTATTACGTATAAGTTATTTTTGTTTATAATAATATGGATAATCAAATGGAAACAAAATGTAGTGGGTGCAATGAGTTGATTTTTGATATTTTATGCATAGAGTGTTCTCAAAAAACATGTAGAAAAGTGTATCATTATATGTGTGTATCAATAACGGCTGAGCAGTACCAAAATTTTACTGAAGAAGAGAAAGGTAAATGGGTTCGTCCAGAATGCCGGTGTAATATTCCGAAAGTAGACAACACCAATACACCGGTTCGGGGAGTTTGCGTAATGGACAAATCGTTTTCACCGTCTTTTTATATGAACAAAGAACGAAGAGATCGTCACAATTACCGCGAAGTATGTAACGATAGTAGGATTATAGAGGAGATCCGAGAATTCCGCATGGAAATGATTTCTCGGCTCGACGATCAAATGAAGAAATGTAAACGGCTAGAAAAAAGATTTATTAAAACCGAAACTGAGCTGCGGGAATTAAAAAATATTATGAATGTAGTGCAGCAAAAAGCAAATAAGGTGGATGAGTTGGAGGAGCGAATTAAAGTACTTACAGAAATAAATGAACGTTTGGAAACTACTTTAACAGTAAAAAATACTGCGAAGGAAATACTACAAACAAATGTGGAGCAATTAGTGTCATTTGCTAATATAACGAAGCAGAATAAAAATACGGTAGTTAAAAATAACGGCCCAAATAAGGAGGGGGGGTAGTCGCAAAATCACCATCTCATTGTAATAATAGTACGGTATCAATAAGTGAAAAAACGCCGAATTCGAGCTCAAATAATTTTAATAATGAATCCAAGAAAGATGGTGTGACTACGAAATCGGCAGAATTATCTAGTGTTCATAAATGCTCAGTTTCAATTAATGAAAACCAAGTTAATTCAGTGTCAGTAAATTCAACTAAGAACGCGAAGGACACATTGGAAAAAGAATAAAACTGTACAGTAGTAAAAAGAGAAAACAATAGGTATCCTAATAGTGAGGTAAAAAGAGGAGGTAACACGAGTCTATCGGGTATACAAGGTACTGAACGTAAAAAATATTTTAATGTCTGGCGACTGAAGAAGGACACTACGAGAGAAAGCATAGAAACACATGTTAAAAACATATTTGTGGCTGAAGTTCAAGTTCAGGTTGAACAAATTAAACATAAGACTGAACGGGATTATGCTTCGTTTATAATAGGGGTTCCGGAAAGTCACTATAAAAAGATATGTTTACCAGAGAATTGGGCATTAAATATTGAATTTTGTGAATGGGTGTGGTTTCGTCGATACACCGAAAAACCAAAAAAGCTTTAGGAGAACTATTGAAATTTTTTACCAGAACGTAAGAGGACTGAGAACGAAATTAGATGAATTCTGGGTGGCCGTTGTTAGCTCGAGTTTCGATTTGTTTGCTATTACGGAAACCGGCTTTAGTGAATCTATTCAAGACTCGGAAGTTATTCCACCTGGATACAAAATGTTAAGATGCGATCGCGTAGACGGGCGGAAACAAGGCGGCGCTTGTCTAGTGGCCAAGTATATCGAGTGACATCAACATAGATTGTCGCGTATTTGAACTGGTTTGTGCTAGGGTATATTTAAGAGAAATATTTATATTTTTCATATGCGTTGTTTACATTCCACCAGGTAGTTGTGATAACGAATATATGTTATTATTTAAAATAATCGAGCAATGTTGTAGTAAATACAGTAAAGTCATAGTACTAGGAGATTTTAATTTGTATTCATGCTCCACTGCTATACGTAATTACTATGAACATTTTGTAACATACTGTCAGTTTTCTCAGAGCAATAGAATAGGAAATTGTAATGAACGACAATAGGATTTAGTGTTAAGTACATTTGATGGTGAGGAATCGGTGAGGGTGTATGCGGCTGATTTGGAGCTTGTGCCAGTGGATGCGCACCATCCCCCTCTTGAGGTAATAGTGTGGTTGCAATCCGCCGCAGACGAAACCTCTTCTGCGCAGGGCCCCATTGACAGCGAATGCTACGAGAGACCCGCTTGGAAGTTTAGCAAAGCTAACTTTCCTCTCTTGTATAAAACTATAGAGAAAATAGACTGGTCTCCAATATATGGTCTAGATTTAGAAGCAAGCCTTGATTTTTTTTTATTGTACTATAAATAATATATTAGATAATTGTGTACCTAGGAAAAAAGTAAGTAAGGTAAGGTCAAAGTATATTTATCCTGAATGGTATACAACTGAGATAATACGCGAGTTAAAATTAAAAGCAGATCGCCATAAGAGGTATAAGATGAGTAAATCACAAAACGATTATGAATTGTTTTCTAAGTGTCGAGCGAAAGTTAAAAAAAATGATAAAACTCGCGCGGGAGCAACATCAGCGTCGCGTCCAAAGCCATCTCGTAGAAGATCCAAAGGCTTTTTGGAATTACATACGGTCCAAAAGAGGCTGCCTAAACAAAAAAACAAATTTTGAAAAATGGACAAGTATTGAGTGGTAAGCAATGTGTAGAAGAGTTTGCTCAGTACTTCCATTTAGTATATAGGACGGAACAACCCAACCTAAGCGTCACTGAGGCAATAATAGCGGCTGGTGGTGTCAACGCAGCTGCGTGGGTGCATATAGAAAGTCTTAGTATTCAGGATGTGCAACGTGCCTTAAAAAAGTTGAAACCAAAAAGGTGCGCAGGACCGGATGGTATTCCACCATATATTCTCAGGGACTGCCGTTTCGTGTTAACTAAGCCGTTAATGCACATATATTCCAAACGTCTGGACAGTGCTGTTTTTCCCGATACATGGAAAACCACACGGGTCGTTCCGGTTCCTAAACGAAAAGTAGGATCGCAGGTACACGAATATCGACCTGTGGCCGTGCTTTCATCAGCAGCTAAAGTGTTAGAGTCGGTCATGTATGACAAAATATTCATGCAGGTGAATCAGCAGCTCTCGGAAGCACAGCATGGGTTTCGCCCAATGAAAAGTACTACTAGCAACCTTCTTAGTTACATGGCTGAAGTTGTGCCCGCAGTGGATAGGGGGGTGCAGGTCGATGCCGCCTACTTTGACTTAAAAAAAGCGTTTGACTTAGTGAATAATGACGTCTTACTAAAAAAGTTAGCGGCAGTTGGCTTCACTCCACATTTATTAAAATTATTTGCCGGCTATATGACAGGTAGAAAGCAGTATATGGAATATGCCGGCTATACGTCGGACCCATATAATACAAAATCTGGAGTAAGCCAGGGCAGTAATTTAGGGCCACTCCAGTTTTTATTACTGGATTTTCCGGAGGTAGTTAAGCAATCTAGGTGCCTTCTTTTTGCTGACGACCTCAAGTTGTATCATGTCGTAGAAACATTGTCAGACTGTGAAAAGCTACAACAGGACGTAAACAGAGTAGTGGCATGGAGCAATAATAACGGTTTACAATTTAACACCTCCAAGTGTGTTACCATTTCGTTTACTAGAAAGCGCACGCCCATTGAATATAACTATGAAGTCGATGGTTCGCCAATGGTAAGAGTTAAAGAAGTTAAAGATCTGGGCGTTCGGCTAAATAGTGAATTAACAAATTACTGAAAAAAAATTTAGGGAACACATTCTCAATTGCTGCAAAAAAGCGTATAGAAACTTGGGCTTCATTCTTCGCACAGTTCACGGTTTTACTAACATTAATTTAATCGTTACTATGTATAATACACTGGTAAGAAGTAATCTGGAGTGTAACGCCGTAATATGGTCACCACATGAAAAAAGGTATAGCACAATGCTAGAACGGGTGCAAGATAAATTTATTAGATACCTATATATGCGATATTATGGGGTATACCCTATGTACCCATTAATGTACCCAACCTTATTTATTCTGGATATGGTTGGCTACAACGAGTTGAGGGTAAGACGAGACCTCGCCATAGCCCTATATATTTTTAAAGTGCTTAGGGGAAAAATATATAATAGTGAAATATTGGGGCAGATTGGGTTGTGTGTTCCAGACGGGTACGTATGGTTCCGCGCACCCGAACCAATTTACTAGATAAAGCACCTTTAACGCGAACGTTACGCATTCCTAATAGAATGGCTGAAGACATTGACCTATTCTATTGCTCCTTGAGTGAATTTACTAGGGTGGGATTGTTTACAATTTGTTACAGTTAATTTTTACATTTTTTGTTATGCATAAAAAGAACTACACTGTCGCATTAGGTTATTCCTGTCATGATAGTTGTTAGTTTCAATAAATAAATAAATAATCCTTATTTTCTTGTTTTAATTTTTCAATCAATCCAGGTTCGATAAGTATCATTTTCTTTGCATTTTCCATGTTAACTGGTTAGTCCCCTCACTAATCCACTCAATATTGCACCTAATATTATTGGTAAGAAAGCCCCTTCTTTTTGTATAATTATATTTTTTCTTAGTTTATGTTTACACTTACGCACTAGTTTACGGAGTATATTTTTGTGTTTATTCAATTTTTGTTTATCTTCATCTTTAAGATATACTTTTCCTTGTAAAACGTTATGAATACACTCACAAATACAGTTAATTTCTTCTTCATCACACGTTTTAAGTAATGTTCTTTGATATTTTGGTTTAAGCGTATGCAAAGCGTTTAGCAAATGTTTATGCGTTGTGAGTCGACGATGCATCATTTAGCAATGATTTGAATTATTTGATTCTTGGTGTATTTAAACCCTTTTTTGGGGACGTATACTGTACAGAAACCATTAAATGGGAAGATATTGGTCTTGATACGACAAAAATCAGTGGTATTCTGTTTTAAATCCACCATTAAATATCCATGCGCCTCTAGAGTTACATACATTGTGAAATTTACAGCTTGCGCTAACCATCTGAGCTACCACGGCTTAATCATATACACACATAATAGTTAAATATAATTTGTTAACACTAAATCATACACACGTAAGAAATAACAGAAAGAAAAGTAAGTTTGTCAATAGAATAAACAATTACATCCATGGCCTTTGATGCGTTGAAGTAACACAAATATAGTATTGATAGATCCACTGCGGTCAAACGACCATACACTAACTCCATAACTGCAGCTGCTCGGTCTTATATAGCACCAGTAAGTAATAATTCTAATCTAAAGAATTTCTGCAGTGAAACTGATAGTAACTTTATGCTTCAACAAGCTTATCTCACATTCTGTTGTATATCTCAACATTCCTTCGTGTTGCGTCTTGCTCGATGTATCGATGACTCAAATACGATTTGTGAATGCAATTTAATATTTAGAAATCACTATAATTGATTATTCCTATGTTAGTCATTGAGTAGATTGTTACTGTGATAATCTACTAATAAAGGTAATATCATGGATACACTAGATGTACAACAACATCTGAAAAAGTTTCACCCCAGTCTAGAAAATAGTGTTTATGCTGCTAATAGACTGCCCACGTATACCCACGTACCAACGTATATAATATGCAATTTGGATACAGATGATAAACCAGGGTCACATTGGGTAGCTTTATATATCGATACGAATGACTTTGGTCAATATTTTAATTAATATAGACGATCACCTGTACATTATCATCTAGAGCTTTTAAAAAGGAATTGTAAAAGATGGAACTGGAATGTTGATAGAATTCAGAATGAGTGGACTTCAGTTTGTGGCGAATATTGCTTAATGTATTTGCTATATAAGTTTCATGTATGTTCAATGCATAATTTTACGAGTATATATACA